AAAGCTACTTTTAAGCGACTTTAAAGCTGCTTTAAAGTAGCTTTTAAGCTACTTTTAAGCGGCTTTAAAGCTGCTTTAAAGTCGCTTTAAAGTAGCTTAAAAGCGGCTTTAAAGTAGCTTTAAAGTAGCATTAAAGCCACTTTAAAGCCAATTTAAGTTCGCTTAAATGATACTTTAAAGTACCGTGAAAGTCATTTCACAGCTACTTACTATCTCTTATTCCCGTAAACCCCCCACTATACTCAGTTCGCCTTACATAAGAGGAGGCACGTGGCTCAGTAGCATTGCCGTATGTCCAGTAGCTTAAAGTATCCGGTTATGAGAGTCGCACGGGACTCAGTAGCTGAGCCGTAGGTCCAGTAGCTTAGAGTAACCGGTAATGAGTCGTTTCGGAACGTCCCGGAGAAAATCGAAAATCGGCATTAAATTTGAAATGGACAACAGGCTGATCTATCCGATAAAGAGCCTACATACCGTACGGTACCGTACGGTACATACCGTAAACAATATTTTGGAACAGTGTAGAAGTTAGGAGTACCGGTACATCATTAGTATCATACGCACGTACTCATCGTCCATAGTAACATACTATGTATAGCACGTAGCACATGGGATGGTACGTAGTATCGTACTTGCTGCACGGTACCACCGTTCGCGCTACTGTAATGTACAGTACGTACTCTCATACAGTCCCGCATAAGACTACGATTCCTTCTCATTGTTAACGAATAAAGAGGGTGAGGTCTAGCAAACGATACAGGCTACTACCAAAGCGTAGGTCCATCAGATCAATCAGAGACAAAGACTGAGGTGACGGGAAGATGTTTACTCGTACCGGTATGCTCTCAGGTTACAAAACTAATGCGTAAGCGAGAAATCATTGAAATAGCACAAGTGCTTCTACTTCTTCTACTCGTAATTTTAAAAAATTATTCGGAATGCTACGTCGAAGGAAAAAGTCATGTTGCAGAGTGTGAACTAAAATACCTGCACTTCTGATTCTTTCGAAGCTCTTTTCAGAAATAGCGGGCCCTGGCGACGCGAAAACTTCGATGGGTTTTAGTTAGAAAATGACGAGCAACTTGCATATAATCGCAACTGATATAGGAAAAGCGAGAATCTATTGTTGTTATAAAATTGAAACTAGATCTAAAATGTTATCGCCGAAAGACAAAATTCACGATCTTGAAAAAAGGACTACTAGATCGATTAGAACCCTCCGCGAAGACGGAGAACCAAGTGAAGGGTAGATTCCTTTTGGATGTTGTAGTCACTCAAGGTGCGGCCGTCTTCCAGTTGCTTTCCAGCAAAGATAAGACGCTGCTGATCAGGAGGAATTCCTTCCTTGTCCTGGATCTTGGTCTTCACGTTGTCAATGGTATCAGATGGTTCCACATCCAGTGTAATAGTCTTACCAGTGAGCGTCTTCACAAAGATTTGCATTCCTCCTCTTAGACGGAGGACCAAGTGAAGCGTGGATTCCTTTTGGATGTTGTAGTCACTCAAGGTGCGGCCGTCTTCCAGTTGCTTTCCAGCAAAAATCAATCTCTGCTGATCAGGTGGGATTCCTTCCTTGTCCTGGATCTTGGTCTTCACGTTATCAATGGTATCAGACGGTTCAACGTCCAGTGTGATGGTCTTACCAGTGAGTGTCTTCACAAAGATTTGCATTCCTCCACGAAGACGAAGGACCAGGTGCAGAGTGGACTCCTTCTGAATATTGTAGTCGCTTAGGGTCCTTCCATCTTCCAATTGCTTTCCAGCAAAAATCAATCTCTGCTGATCAGGTGGGATTCCTTCCTTGTCCTGAATCTTGGTCTTGACATTGTCAATAGTGTCCGAAGGCTCGACATCCAACGTGATAGTCTTTCCCGTGAGGGTCTTGACAAAGATTTGCATTCCTCCACGAAGACGAAGCACTAAGTGAAGAGTAGATTCCTTTTGGATATTGTAGTCGCTTAGGGTCCTTCCATCTTCCAATTGCTTTCCAGCAAAAATCAATCTCTGCTGATCCGGAGGAATTCCTTCCTTGTCCTGGATCTTGGTCTTGACATTGTCAATGGTGTCCGAAGGCTCGACATCCAACGTGATTGTCTTGCCGGTCAAAGTTTTTACGAAAATCTGTAGAGAAGCGAGGAAAGCGAAACGAAATCGGGTGAGTGAATCATTGCGGGCACGCGGGTTAGTGGTTTCTTCGAGATCGCTGTATCAGCTCAGTCTGAAAAAGCGAACCAGAGGCTCGTCCTACGTATCTCTTCGAATCGATGCAGTTCGTGTCAACTATGACTAACGATCGGTTGTGAACTCAAAGCGCAATGTAGATATGTTCGAAACGGCGGTGATGCACAATGACAGCACCGCACAGCTGCATTGGACTATTTCAAAAGTCGTCGCAACGCACTTCAAGAACATCAAACTTGTTACAGAAATCTAATTCAAAAGCTGGGCGTTCCCTTACGTACCTGCATGATGTGATTTGATGAGTGTAGGCTCGATAAGTAATAATGTTGATGTAAATGGAAAGTGAAAAGAGATGTTTTCTAATTCAGTTGGAACGAATTACGTTTTTATGACATTGGCGTGGGATCAAAACTGCGAAGCGGAATTAGGGAATTATCAGCGTTGATGCTGTATCGTAGATGTTCTGTGCAAACTGGTAACGTTCCTTCGCACTCCGTCTGTTGGGCTTCAATTCGATGCAACATTCACTCATGCCGTGTGTCAGGGTTGCGAAGAAAAAAAGAACGTCTTCGAATTTTTCACTCTTGTTAAGGGGCGCACTGTAGAAATTCTAAGAAAGTCTACTTAAACCCGCATGCTCTGTTGCCGATATTGGTTTGTCCGATGAATTCCGAGTGAAAAACGAATCAGTCACGACAAGTAGTACCAGGTTCGTGAAAGATGCGAACGATGGAAAACGTAAGAATCGTTACGTCAGGGTCATTCTCTAATTATGTCCAATGATCGAAATATAACGGTTTCGGTTTAATACTAAGATAGCTTTTCATGTCAGGAAGTCATACCCATTAGTACGTAGTACTCTACGTACGTACATAAAATTGTACGGTATGTTACATGCGTACCTAATCTTCCCTGGAGATGGATACAGGATTACTTTTTGTTTGCTCTTGAACGTTTTGTGTTCATCAAGCACGACTCCTCCTGAAGGCGCCGAAATAGTTGGGTCGCCGAGACTCCTACCGGTAGCGGCAGAAGAATACTGGTACTCGTGGTGGCAGGTGGGATGCTTCGTCGCTCGCCAGGGACCACCGTGGTCACGGATTCACCTTATCTGCAACGTCCCCTTTTGCGAGTCCTGTTGATCCTCGGGGTTGCAACGAGCCTGCTCTCGGATATCACCGTGGATGCCCTTGCCAACCGTCACCATCCGGCAGCGCCGTCGGAACGAGCTGGGAACAAAAACGACAAGCTGCTGATTATTGGTCTAGGACGAGTCGGTCTCCAAGTGGCAGATCTACTCGTCCAAAACGAAAATGAAGAAATCGCGGTCAATCAAGTAGTCGGGACGGTTCGGAAGTTATCCAAAGAATGCGTTGATAAAAACCAGGAACAAATCGTGAGGATACCATTTGATTCTACGATTGTCCGAGAGCATTTATTTGGTAGCAATGATGACGAAGGAAAGGGAAAGAACTACAGTGATCCCGTCGTTGCCCCTGCATCCCATGTCTTGTTTGCGATTCCGCTCTCTCGAGAACCCGATCCTGCAATGGAAGCTGTCATGGAAGCATTGAATGAGTGGTGGGAGTGTAGTGATAGCAGCAGCCACGCCTCTTCCGGCCAGAAAGTTCTGGGGATCCTATCGACCACCGGGGTTTATGGGAATCACAACGGTGGACTAGTTACAGAAGAATCTTCCCTTTTGTGTGAGAAAAATAGCAATGCTGCATTGTATCGTACGTTTGAAAACAGCTGGATATCCACTACTGATAGGGTCAGGGAGGCCGACAACGAGGAAGATAACACAGGCAGCCCCCGCAATCGACGCCTTTGTATTTTCCGGTGCGCTGGCATCTACGATTCTTCCCGTTCGGCTCTGCACACGGTGTACAAAAATTTGGGTGCAGAAGGGACCGACCCTTCGCAAATGTTCGCGTCGTCAGCTTCGGTGCCGATCAACACTGTTGGTAACAAAACCAACCGCATCCATTCAGTCGATCTTGCACGTGCGGTTCTTTCCGGAATGTTCCTAATAGAAGAAAACGAGCTTGGAAATCCTGCCCGTATTTTCAATCTTGCCGACAATCTACCAGAAGTGAGGTCGGTTGTACTCTCGTACGCACTGAAACTGTTGTCGTCGATCGGAATCGGGGTGAGCACCGCAGGAACGAAGGAGGCCGCCGCACAAATAGCAGTCGATCCGGTGGCGATTCCGTCGCGGTCTTCGAAAACACGACAGAGGCGCCGCGAAAAAGAATCCAAGTTAGTTTGCAACAAGCGCATGAGAGAAGAGCTGTTGCCAAACGGAGGTTTGCTGTTTCCAACGTATCGAGAAGGACTAGATTTCATCTTCAAAGACCCAACGACTCCTTGGCAACATTCAAAGTCATCCATGGAGTAGCATTCGTTCCTCTTTCTTTAATTTGAAAACTACTGTTTTTTCATCCAGAAAAAGATTACGAAAGTTTAGTGTTTCTAAATTAAGTTTTGTTTTTATGGTTTGATAATGTGATCTACTGCTCTTTCATAATTTATTGTAATGGATGAAGCTACAAATTGATTCAAGATGTGTTTTCAAGTTTTGTCGAAAGCGCTATGCTTACCGGACCTAATTGCTCTGTCCTATCGGGTGAGCGAAAAAGAAGATAATCCAACGGCTTCCTCGTTCGCCTTCTGCCCTCGGGATTTTCTGTTGGATAGCACCAACTTCTCTGGAAGATCTTCCACGACCGCAGATTTACTTGCATTGTGCAACAGAGATTCTTCAGCAACAGCGCTATCCAACACGCTCTGATTGTTTGGATGCTGGTTTTCTTTCCATCCATCGGCGGCAATGCGCAAGAAATCGCGAATGATGTCCTTTTGACTTTTGGCGGCTCGTTTCGCCAACAGATCTTGATCTAATTTCTTAATCATCTCGACAGATATTCCGGGGAGGCTATTCAATAGCTGATGAGGCAACTCACTGGGAACTGTCAACATCCCACCACCCTGTAGCGGTCGCTCTGCCGATTTGGCTTGCTCGTATACTGCTCCGGATGCACGATTGGCACTTGGCGGTTGTTGTAGACCCGGTCCCTGCCCACCCATCTGCAAGATTTGACCCAAAACAAGACGGATGTAAATGTCACGGAACACATTTATCATGTCCCATTCTGTACCTACCATCCATTTCGGTTCCGTCACAATATTTTTGGTGATTGCAGCAAGCATTCGACGACCCAATAGGTCGGTATAATTCGGGTGCCACGCTACTGTTTCCAACATGCGATGACAAATACGGGTGATGCGCCGACAAGTGTAGGTATCGGGATAGGAGAGAGATTGGATAACTGTCAGTGTCAAGTAGCCAGCAATTGCCTCGTTTTCAAGTAGCATAAAATGATTCAATGCGTGTATGCGCTTCAATTTCCGCGCATCAACAGCAGCTTGGTTCTCTTTTCGTGGTGTTCCGTCGGCATTCACCCTACCACCGTCCGCAACAATCAGTCGAGATGTAGGCGGTCCCTTCTTCTTTTCATAACTAGAACCATCATTTTCTTTCGCCAAATTAGCCAGCACGAGAGCCCAATCTCCCTTTAGAGCCAATGCTGACTGAATTACATCACTATATGTTCGTGTTACTTCGACTCTGTGTTTCTCGACTGCTGATTCGGCTGTCTCTGCATCTAAGCCTCCGACAAACAAACCAGAACGGGCATAGTATGATGTGTACCAAACTTCCCCGTTTTGGCTTGCCAGCAAAGCCGCTGAATCACTGTCTGACGTGATCAGTGGTTTGCATGACAATTGACCACTTGGGTTTATGGTGGGGTCCCAAGTTTTTCCTAACCGATACTGCATATGTTCAAATACTGGTCCAATAATGGGGGTAAGATGAGTAGAATACAGAGTAGGAGGACAACTCAACAGAAGGACCTCGATGAATTGTTTGCTGTGGTGAATAGAACAAAAAGAAAGAAAAGTGAGCATAATTGAATAATCATAAATATATTTTAAGTACTTTCCTCTGACAGACTCACAGATATTGTGTGCAATGGCGATGCTCCATGGCGCGAAGATTATCTGGATCCGTGACGACCGAAACTAATTGAGGATAAAACTCCGCAATCTCGGGGGCGTAGAGAACTCTTTGCCCAGCTAACAACCCTAGCGTCTGGAACAAAGCATTTCGCATTTCATTCAGCCATCCACTCCATCTCGGGGCCAGATTCATATCCCTTCTATCAGTTCCGGGTATGATGCTTCCGGCGGTCCCCCCTTCTCCGAACACACCACCAGTTTTTCCATCTGTCTTTCTCGCCAAAAAGGCGTCGTCATCAGAAATAGCTAGCACATATCTTTGGATAGGGTTTTGCAAGTAAACTGCTTGTTGTCCAGGCTGCCAAAGCTTCAACATGATATTTAGCATACGTAAGATGTGTGGAAGGATTCTAGGCCACAATGGAACAAACGGGTCGTCACGAGCTAAGTCGTTAATGCTGACCGGGCCTTCATCCGGAAAATGCAGAGTTTCAGCCGCTTCAGTGACAGTCATTCCTTTTGGAATATTTACATTCGTAGCCCCACTGACAGCAGCGACAGGAATTCCACCATTAGCCCGTTTCTTGGCAGCTTCGTGGCACCTTTTTCCAACAGATAGTAGTTCATTAAAGGATGAGAAAATCCGCGAAAACCGATCAGTTACAGCCTTGACGTTTGCAACATCTGTTACACTCGCAGGGTTACCGGCAGCCTGAGTAATTCCAATAGCAGCAACGAAGTTATCAACGGACGATAGCGCATCTTGCGTTTCTGCAGATTGCAACGTATTCAATGCGTCTCCTAGAACACTGCCAATGAAATTAGCGCGCTGCACAGGATCTTCAACCGCTGTTGCTACAACAGACAAAAACTCATATAAATTCATGCGGTTTGTCTGAAGTAGATCTGGTTGCGATAGAAGCGAACGCGTCGCATTGCTCAACTCCGACAACCATGGAACCAAGTGATGGGGTACTTGCTTCGAGAGTCCCACAAGAGACATGCTACTCTTCTTACGGAACCCTACAGTTTCTCCACTTAGTCGCTTTGATCCATCTGCCTCTATTTTTGTTTCCCCCCACTCATCTGGTGCTCCAATGTAGCCAAGCAATGAATTCACCCCCTGTAGTAGTGTTGAAGGGTCGTATTTCCAGTAATGTTTCAAACATTCCAACAATTGGGCACGTCTGAACTTCAACCACAGATAGGAAGGATTCCAAGATACGATCCCATTGGCGAGTTCAGAAAGGGAAGCTTGGGTCTGCGCTCTAATCTGGCCTTCAAGTCGCTTCTGGTGTTCTTGCTTTTTTTGCGACCCGGCACTACTACTTTTCCCCTGTGCATTTAATGACCAAGGAGGCAACCCATTAAGAATATTTTCCATTGGATGCACCATACCTTCGAATTGCCGAGATGCCGTGCTTTTGTCCGTAAGTTGCTGGTTTGTCCGGCAAATATGGTCACGGGGTTCTCCGTTTCCATGTTGAGAAATCAGGTTTCTGATCCGCGTTAGCAACACCGAAGAAGCTACGTGTGGTTGGCAATTCCCGACGTATTTGAATAATTGGCTCGCTTTTGCCCGATATTCGTGATTCCATGCATCGTAATCGTCTTCGTCTTCCCAGCTAGCTTGCATGAGATGACTTTGAGGGTGGTTCTCCTCCTCAACCTCATCCCAGTCAAGTTTGACCATATGATTCGTGAAACTGTTTAAAATGTCTGTCACTAACGGATCAAGAAGGGTGGAGGATTTCGATATTTGTGGATCTCGCAACATCCCTACCCACAAATTAATCTGTTCGCCTACAACTCTACCGGATGGATGATGCAGTAAATCGACAAGAAGTCGTAGGTATGCTGCAAAACTGTCGGCATTTTTATTCCTTTTGTTGTTGCTGTTATCACTCGAAGATTTCAAAAGTGCCTTGTCCTGGGTTATCAAACCGATGTGCGATGACACGACTGTAGCCAACATTCTTGACAAAGCTCTGTGATATTCTAATTGGCGCGTAAGTGCATCTGGGATGTCAAAACTATCTGGTGACTGATTTCCCGTGTTAGCAACCTCTTTCACCTGTAGGTATTCTGTCTCTTGTGTCATCTGTTGATTGGCTTGTGCGACAGCCTGCGGCAAGTCTTGTATCCATTGGGTCCATGTTGTATACGACAATTTCGCTCGAAGTGCAAGTTGCTCCAAACAATTCACAGACAATACATTAATATTTTCAGTCGACTCCCTCATCAGGTGGAATAGGGCTGAAGCAAAGTCGTACTTAGAGTTCATTATCCACTCCAAAGGCATACTGCGGCAAAAAAGATGTAAACATTTCAGAGTATCTGTTATAACCAAAGAAGTAGCCTTAATTTTGGCTTCTTCGGCCCAATACGCAGCACTTTGTTCCGGCGTCATGGTAGATACTCTTTGCTGGTTTTGCACCAGAAATAATCTCATCTGATGTATCGATGTCCTGGCTTGGGTCAAAGTCGTGATATGTTCTAGGGATCGGAATAGTAGTGGTAGAAATTGATGCGAAACCTCATTCAATCCCATTAAAATGTCGTTCCGGCGTTTGGTAGATATCTATGACGTTGCGAAGCAATAAACGGATTATGATTTTTGTTGATGTGTTCGTCAAGAAAAATTCCAGGGTAAAAATTATGCAATTGCCGCCACGGCACAGTGATCCATTGAAGCTGGGCATTAGAATGTAAATCTGTAGAGCTATATTCGATGCGGTAACAAAGATGACCAAAATAATATCCTTCCTGAACAATTTTTAAACACACGTACCTTGGAATTGAAATCGGAATCGGTACAATCTTCGGCCACAAGCTGTAAGACCTGGAGACACATTCTATTCCCCACGAGTGGTGCCGTTTCTGACCATAGCTGTTGGAATAAATCCTGAATGCAAGTCGTCCAACGCTGTGGGAAGTCGCGAACCACGAGTGCCGAAAGCAAGCTCGCAAGTTTGTTCGCGAGTGGCAGTGAAGTTGTTGTGTTGGTCTTGTTGGACGAACCATCCCTCGGGTTGACCAATGGCGCACTTGCCTGGAGCCGAGCGGCTGTCATGACTGCCTGCCGCAACTGCAGGCGATCTCCTTCCTGCCATTGAGCGTACTTTTTTGTCTTGTCGTTGAGGCAGGAGGACAAAATTTCACAAGCATAAAGCTGTGTCGTTATCGTGCAGTCGATCGTTCCGTTCGCCACCGTTAATTGTGGCTGTTGCAACCATTGTAAACAGACAGGTATGCGACCTTCGAACTGGGTAGAGAAATCTTGTAGGGCGCTAAAGGCTCGCCGTCGTTCGTCTTGAGATATAGGTTGCCCTGCCCAATGGGTGCTTGAAGAGACGACAACGGCACTCAAAATAGTTTCTTGCTGTGCAGCATTCATAGCAGCTTGTCGTCCAACCTGGCCTATTGGAATGCAGTTCGGGGGCTATCGGTCCATACGGAAGTAGTATATATGCCAAATGAATTGTTCTTTCGACTGCTGTGCGATGACAGGGTCTCTGAGGATATGCTGGTGGGTCAGAGAAAAAGTGCTGTTGTGCGTATTGTTATTCCAGATTTATTGATACAGGATTTGCATCCAGATGAAGAGTATCGTTTCTGAATGCACAAGGGAGTGCCTTTGATGATGCTTAGATGTGAGTTCTAATGAACCTGGTGTAACACCTGGATCCTTTTGGTTTCGGTTTAACGCTTCTTTATGTTGACACAGCAAGCAATATTTGGGGATTCAATTGGTTCGATCTATTCCAATTGCATCGATCGCTTGATTTCTCGGTTCGTAGTTTCTCAACTCAAATTCATGGTCGGGAAGGGCGCTTTTCCCCGGCAGTTTCAAACTTGTGTCAGTCTACAGGAAAACCATGCGAAATTCGAAATTGTCTCCTACACGCAGTAGAGAAAAAAGTCGATTTGATTTTTTGTTCGTTTTAAATTCCCGGGACCTCTACACGCCAGAACTCCATCATAGTAGTGGTACTTCTAGTACTACTAGTACAAGTACTACTACTACTATTGAGAAGCGCCAATACTACAAAGAAGCCAGCAAAAGAGGGATAACAAGAGTTTATTCAACACATGCACAAAGCTAAGCAATTCAGCTACTAGTAGTAGTACTAGCAGTTTTCACTGATGTCACTACTATCTTACTGATCAAGAAAGTTCCTGTGTGGTCATTGTTTGTCACTAAAGAGAGCAAAAAACTGCTCAGGCAAATGCAGTTTTCGTGTGGGTTCTTTAATTTTTGAGATGGAGAGCAAAGCAAAAGGGGAAAAATTGGGAAGAAATTGTGCATCTCGCATGGTACAAACATGCTCACACCTCCTGATTTCCTCTTTTCCTCCTGTGACGTCACTATTCTCATTCTCTTCCTTTCCATTCAACTGACTAAGACCAGCTTCTTTGCTATTCAAGCCTTCTTTGCACCTTAAGTGACTCAGTGCTGAGGTGCTACTGCAAGGCTACAGGGATGCGCTACTACTGCAATGTATCGCCAGGTGCCTCCATTAACAATGGATCCTCCATTACCTTGCGTCTCCATTGCTTGCACTAACAGGGGGAAAGCACTTGGCACCTTGCCTTGCGCTCTATTGTGTGGCACCTTTTTGCCTTTTTGCCTTGTACCTCCATTGCTTCCACCTAGAAGGGGGGGTTCCATTGCTGCGCCTTGGGCTTGCTCTAACAGGGGGGAATGCGCTTGGCGCCTTGCCTTGTGTCTCCTCTGTTGCTTCCATAAAGAGGGGGGGTGGTCCATCAACTCACTTTGCATCTCAGTTGCTAGCATTACCAGCAGGGGAATCAGTGCTGAGGTGCTTCTCCGTTGCCCCACCACTAAGAAGGGGGGAAGTGCGATCTCCTTGTCCAAGCGCCGGCGATGACTTGTCGACAATCAACCAACAATATCCAGCAATGCATCCTCTCTTTGTGTCTTGATTTGCTTTTGCTTGTTTTAACTCATCACTCCCCCCCCGCTTGATTTTTTCTAAAGCAAACCAGCAACCAGCAAGATGGTAACTGACTTGATGGAACTCATTGAAGCTAGTGACACTCCTACAGCAGCAACAACAACAAGAACCAYGGCAGCAAGCGACAATATGCTGGCAGCAGGCAACAAGAACCAATGATATGGCAGCAAGAATGCTGCCAGGAGATATTAGTACTAGTACTGGTGGGGCTGCTATTCAGGTTTTTTTGGAAAACTGAATCTATGACTACCAATGATTTAGTGGTCATAAAGACCACCAATTAGACCTTGGTGGCGTCAAAGAATGCATTCTCCTAAAATGGCATTTACAGTAATTTTCTCCAAATACTTCGGTATTGGTTTTCGGTTTTCGGGAATGATATTACGGTACGTACCGTGGATCCGATCAGTGGTTGGTCGTCAGCCACCAAGGAAAAAAACATGCGAGGGAAAATTCAAAATTTCTGTTCAGAAAGATAAATTAGGTAACCATCACTGCTCTCCGCACCCTCAACACATACGTGACCGTATCGATCGCAATGTACGAAACGATTCTTTGCGTTTCACTTCTGAACTGCATAAAAGATTGGATCCAGATCATATGATAAATTCATCAAAAACGACTGACGGTGTTTAACTTTCATACAAATCATGCTGGGCGAGAATTTTACCGGTGCGACCAAAGTGTCGTCGCTTGCGACTTCTCTCTTTAATGAATCATTGAGTGACTACATTGACTATCACAAGCCGGACCCAATTGCTCGACGGCAACTAGAATCGTGGAAAATGAGCTGGTCAGAGGATACTAACGATAGTAGGAAGAGCAATGACAATGCAAACGACAAGAAGAAGCATCTCGATTGGAAACCCACGAATGCTATCGAGGGGAAGCTTGAGATTTGTGGTGAATATGTTGCCGCTACGATAAAAATGGAGTGTTTCTGGACCGATTGGAATCCGGCAGTAAATGACGACAAAATAGAGGACGGCAGGCTCTGCTTCTCGTGCAAATTGATCTCCGGCCGGTTGATAGACAAGAAAGACGGCGAAGAAAGAACCGAGCGGAAAGTTCGCAAAAAGATGCTCACTAGGCTACGAGGGGACTCATACATTTCAAAGATGCTCGCAATGACCGAAGGAGGGAAGTCTGATACCAAAGATATTCAAACGCATCATCAACTCTGTCTAGCCCAAGCTAGTATTTATGTGAACGCTACAAAGTTCGAAATGGAGGAACGTGTGGATGTGTCTGAATCCGTGGCAGAGACGCTTCGGAGGTCGCTGTGGCCATCCATCCACTCGTCTCTGGATGTGGTGGAAGTTATTTTGGCCCTTCCGTCTTTGCCGTGCCGCACTCCTGGCAGCAAAACGAGGGCTACAACTCGGTTAGCCAATCGTGCAAAGTTACGGATGCTGGAAGATGCCATGCTGGATGAATGCGAAAAAGAGGGAGACGATCAAATAATTGAAGACTTGAACATCTCAAATGAACAAGCGTCTTCAAAAGAAGACATTATAGAGCACGAAAGTGCTGACTCTTCGTCACGCAAGAAGAAAAAATCTAAGAGATAGTGCGAGAGATTATCAAAGCATTGGATTTCTAAAATGAGTAGCATTGCTGCTGCTGCTAGAATTTTGATACGAAGTATTTCACCGGTAACTCCCATTGGCGGTTGCTTACTGTTTGTAATAACACATATATTTGGTCGTGCATAAGAAGTGCAAATAGTATTCTTCTTGTATCAGAGATGACTTTTTTGGGTGATATTGTTGTTTAGAGGGTCTTTTCGACGCCCTTGAGGAGTAAGGTGCTTACTACAAATATGTTGACGAAAATTCAAGTCAATTGCATGTTTTGTAAGAAGCTACTATGATATTCTGAGTAAAAGACGGTTGTTAGTACTAGTACTACTAGTAGTACTATTACTAGTACTACTAGTACTAGTAGTTGTACTCTGGTAGTATGAGTAGTAGTATAATCATTGTTAGTAGTAGTACTACTACTAGTAGTAGTACTAGTAGCTACTACTAGTAGTAGTACTATAGTACTGTTCTTGTACTAGTAGTAGTAATATTCATAGTAGTATCCGTCACACAAACCGGATCTATGGTACTGCGCGTTTCACGCGGTTGACACCATCGAAGTTTCA